CAAGTTCTTTATTCAGACGGATCAACATAGTCTTAAGTATCTATTGGAGCTGCGTATCACCATTTAAAATCAATAAAAAAGGGTATCTAAACTATTCGAATATGATTATGAGATCACTTACAAGCTCGGTAAGAAGAACACAGCGACAAATACTCTATCCAGACAAATTATAAGGCTCACACTCGATGCATTATTTATCCAACAGAATTAATTATGGGATGAAATTAAAAAAAAAAAACAGAACAACATCCCTACATGCAAAAAAGCTCAGTATTTTAGCCAAAGAATAGGGCGGTAGCTCATACACCTAGAAACAAAGGTTAATCTATTACAAACATCATGTAGTCCTCCCGCTTGGATCCAACTTAATTCCACAACTCCTTTATGGTTATCACGACTCACCAAGGTGTTATGCGCTTACAAGAGACTCACACAACAATTCTATTGGCTAGCCATGCGCAGGATAGTACAAGAGTATGTGGCAGCTTGTGAAGTTTGTCAAAAAGCTATGGCAGAAACTTTAGCACATGTCAGTCTTCTACAACCATTACCCATTCCATGCTAAGTTTGGGATGACTTCACCATGGATTTTATAGAAGGGTGGGTTGCCTACCTCCAATAGAAAAAACATCATTCTTGTGGTCATCGACCACCTCAGCAAATCAACACACTTTCCGGCCCTATCTTACCCATATACAACAAAAGTTGTTGTAGAGAAATTTATGGAAGGGATAGTGAAATTGCACGAGATGCCCAAATCCATAATCAACGACAGATATCCTATCTTTGTAAGTCACTTCTGGAATGAATTTTTCAATCTTCCAGGTACCTAGCTAAAGATGAGTTTGACATACCACCCACAAATAGATGGTCAGTCCCAGGTGGTCAACTGATGTATCGAGCAATATTTACGATGTTTATGCCATCAGAGATCAAGTAAGTGGAGTTCTATGCTATCTTGGCTTAAATTTGGTACAGCACCACCTTCTACTCTTCCATTGGCATAACTCCATTCCAAGCTTTATATGGGCGATTGTCGCCTTCCATTCCATACTACCACCCATGTACGACTCTAATCAATAAAGTAGACAGACAATTAACTGGGCGTAACGATCTCATCCGACAACTCAAGACCTGTAACGGTCCCAAAAATTCAAAAGGAAATATATATAATAATATGAGTGCGGAAGCGAAATAAAAGTTTAAAGTTAACATCCCTTACACAATAATTTAAAAGTACTAAACAATATCACAGAATAAGTTCTCCAAAAAAAATACGAGAAATGAGAAAAATAAAGGAAACTATAAAGCATCTAGCATCTACTCGCCGTGTTCTTGTAGATCAGGCTCGAAAACCAGGTCCTCCTGATCTGAAATGGTTAAATAAGGAATGAACTACACTATGCCAGTGAGGACATCACACTATATTACCATCACAGAAGCAAAGGTAGGTAGAAAACTGAAAATAACCAATGGAACATAAATTTTAAATCAATACAATTATTTAAAATAAAAGCACTTACCCTTTTTCTTACCCTTGGAGAACCTGTGAAAACAACCTATAAATACAATAACATCATACAGATCACAATTTCATGCATAATCAGTAACATAAAACATATCATAAATCTGTATTCATTAACAATAACTTATTATCACCGTTTCTCATTTTCACCAGCCCACTAATATCCATGGGGATCCATAGGGGTGTCCCCGCTACACGTGAACCCTTCTTCTTAACAGTCTTAATTCCAGGACCGTCCCCATACCCTATCCGGTATGAGCATCAAGATATTAGATCTCAAGACCCCGTCCGGTATGAGGGTGAAGTGGGTCGTCCCCATACCCCGTCCGATATGAGCGTCAAATGACCAAGTCTCCATACCCCGTCCGGTATGAGACGACGTTCACGGTAGGGTTCCCTATGAACCCGGTCCGTCCACCATCTACCAGGATATCTATTGAGGCTGTCACCTTATTTGTTTTCCCTTATTCTCCGTTACTAAGTTGAACGTAATCACATAAACAATAAACATGCACCCGGTAATATAATCATATCTTAAATTCTTAAAATCACATATTGGTCAAGTGAGACAGTAACACATGAATTTAAAACCATAGAATAGATAGACTAGATATCATAATGCATTTAAACTATAAAATAAATTAAATAGAAATCGACAGAGAATAATGTATGGTTCGGGCTCCATTAGCAATCATAATTAATTATGCATATCTATTTAACTTGTACAAAATACAATATTATTATTTATTCAAACTTTACATCTATGATAGAAAATAGGATGAGGGGTTCTCACTTGATTCGACGCCGAAAACTAGATTGTCACTGCACTTACAGGCGGTCCCTAGGTTCCATGAATTTTTTTCCTCGGGAACTAAAACGCGTTTACGGTACCTACACAAGTCTCAAATAACCCAAAAATCAAACACAGGGCCTACTCGGCCAATTTCGAAATTCCGGCACGACGGCTCCACCGTGATCCGCCTTGGGTTGGCTGTTTTCAGCTATTTTCGGCCAAATTCAGCCAAACTTGCATCGGTTCCTGTGAAAAAACACACTTAGGGCCCTCGATGGGCTGGAAAAATGTAGAAAACCAAACTCCCCGACGGTGGGACTCTCCGGTGTGGCGGCTCCTTCGGCTCACATTGCGGTAGAGTGGTTTGCTCCGGCCAACTTGTATAGTATGAAACGGTGATCACAACGGTGAAAAAATCACATTGAACGGGAATCAGGAAGGGCCTCATCGGAGGCAAAAATTAAAACACCCCGGAACAGCGTCGCTGAGCTTCGGCGGTATTTTTCGGCTACTTGGTTGGTGCTTTACTTCCGATTTGGCCATAGGTGGGTTTAGAATCAAATTCTGAGCAAAGGGTAGAATTTTTACCTCGTTTGGAGGCCAGAAATTGCTCCGGTACGACGGCGAGTGCCGACGGTCAGCTCTCTGGAGGCTGGGTTGTCTTCTCCGGCGAGGGGCTCCAGTGGCTAGGGTTAGGGTTTGGGTGTGGATGAGATTATTTATACTCATCCACTTTTGATATGAGCCGTCCATTACTTTTAATTTGAACCGTTCGATCGTGATTAAATAGGAAGTGAATCTACGTCGTTCATCGCGATTCAATCTGGACCGTCTGTGCGCGATTCAATCTAGACCATCCGTGCACGATACAATCTGGGTCGTCCGTGAGCATTTTTTATCTGGGCCGTTCGTGCGCGCAGGAACGAATCTCAACAGTTCGATCGTGCGCACGCGGATCGCCCACGTGGCTCCCTCCTGCGTGGCCTCCCGCGTCAACGTCTCTGCCACCTGGCACGTCCTGGTTGGTCGGGGCTACTAACCGGGCAACTGATGTGGCACAACTTTTTTGAATTGCGTTTTGACCTCTGGTTTTCGATTTTTCTTTCAAAAATACCCTAAGAACCTAAATTTTCACCCATTTTTCTCAAAATTATTTTCAATTAAATCCCTAACCAAATTAAAATTACATAAATAATAATTATATTCATAATAATAATAGTTAATAAAAAGAAAAAAGGAAAGGTTGGGTGTTACAAGACCAATCTCCAATTTGCCAACAACAGTATGCAACAATACGCCAATGCCAAACGCTGCCATGTGCAATTTCAAGGAGGTGATTGGGTTTTCCTCAAATTACAACCCTATCACCAATAGACTATCTTTTGACGAGCTCTGCAAAAACTTGCGTGTCAATTTTATGGACCATGCCAAATTGAGTAATGAATTAGAACGCTGGCTTATAAACTCAAACTACTAGAAGGGTCACGCATCCATCCAATCTTTCATGTCTCACTCCTCAAGAGAAAAATAAGGGACTTCGCCCTCACCACCACCAATCTTCCCATCACAACAGAGGAAGGTAATGTCATACTCTAGCCCCACGACATCAGGGACACCCGCTAGGTTAAAAATATAGGCCAATTTGTGGAACAGAGCCTTGTTTATTGGAATAACACGATGACCAAAAAAGCAATTTGGGAAAATACACAAGAACTACTGCAACAATTTCCCAACCTTGAGGAGGGAGGTTGCTCCAAATGTGGAGAGTGATGTTAGGA